AGATAGATAGATAGATAGATAGATAGATAGATAGATAGATAGATAGATAGATAGATAGATAGATAGATAGATAGATAGATAGATAGATAGATAGATAGATATATATAGATATATATATAGATATAGATATAGATAGATATATCTTATATCCTATAAAAGGGTTGAGTGAGTTTCTCTGTTATAATCCAACATCCACAAAAAACAAGTCTATTTGAAAGTTGTCCGGCAAATTTAGTCAAATTATAACATTTTAAAACTGAAAGAATAGAAAGTTTCCTCTTCCTGTCAATAGAGACCAGGATCTTCTTTATTTATCACCAGACGGTGGTGGACAGTGAGGCTGTCCCTCATCCCTGTTATTTTCATGCATGCATTTAGAAGATTAGAATTAAAAGAGAGTCAATGTTAAAGCTTCGACTAGACTAATAACAGTGAATAATTATGTTATGTATTTTTAAGGCTTCGGTAAAACATTTTCCAACGTTTCTATTTTCAGGTTCAAGAAAAGATTCAAACCGTTCGCTGGAGCGCAGTTTCACGTCGTTAAATCTTCTGCCGGGGATCTCGCCCTTACCTTACTGGAGATGCTGACACTGTTTTCCTGCATGTGCATTATGGCCTCCGACACTTTTACAGAGATGGCGTCAGCAGCCAGCTCAAAATTAAATGGACCTTCGAGCTTCTCGGAAACCATGTACAGAGCATCTGACAGAAAGAGGAACACGTTTGCTAAGACTCCAGCAACAAAGTTCGCTTGGTTTCACAATACATGCTCAAATACTTTAAATAAATAAAGCTTTTTGTCGCTCGCTTATTCTACAACCTAACAAATGGAAGGATTTCAGTGTTTTCTCTGGGTACTCAGGTTTTCTCCCACGAACCATAAACATGCATGCTAAGTTAATTTGAGACTCTACTGTCCCAAGATGGGACAATGAGAGAGAGAGAATGGTTAAGTGTCTCGTTTGTCCTGTCCACGGTGTACCCGTCTCACACAGTGACTGCTGGACATGGGCTCCAGCTCTTTATTTAATTTGATTTATTCATTCATTTAAAAGAAACAAAATAAACTAAACAAATTCATCAAAAATAAAAATAAAAACATTGAATGAAAAGGGTGCGGAAAGAAGAAAAAAATCTTATATCTGCCCCTTAGTTAAATAAATACAAAATAACTACGAACAGCAGCCTACGCTCGAACAATCTCCAAATTGAAAACAAAAAAACATTGGCCCTTACTCCCCCCCACCTTTTTTATTACTTTTATTCATATAATATAATCCATATCCTTCTATTAGAAAGTTATTTATATTTTCATCATTTAACCAGGTCTCTGAAACTGTTATTATACTAAAACTTACGTTCAACTGTTTTAAATAGTCTGTTATTTTAGATAAACTTGCATTTATACTTCTACTATTAAAATGAATGATAGGGAAACCTCCGCTCGCTGTTTTAATGCAACTAAACGATGATGTAATCTACATCTTCAATCATATATATATATAGTATATATATATATATATATTAATATATATATTACATACTATTGTCATACTCGTCTGCTCACAGACTCATGTTCGTGCTGCTGTTGGGCATGTTTTATGCTATTAGTGCTTAGCGCATTTTTAGTTAATGTCTTTTTTAGTTCATATCTTAGATCTTATTACTGTTTTTCTTTTACAATTTATTGTTGGACGTAACTGGGACCCTGTGTACACAATTTTGTTCCACCACATGTACCAAACGTGGTGCAAATGACAAATAAAGAAACTGACTCTGAAAGACAAAAAAAAAAACACGTTTCAAACGGTCACATCTTGCTGCTTTCAAGCATTATTCAGTCTCCATTAACCCATTAAAATGACCATTTTCTCAGAAATAAACGTAGTAAAAAAATAAACTTTCCAGCTCATTTAACCATTCGTGACAAGTGCAGTTTATTTTATTGTGGAGGATTAGTTTACCTGGTTACAATCCTTTACAATTTCATTACTGATCATATACGGTGCCACACCTAAACTAACAAATCTCTAACTTTTTCCCGCACTCACCGATGAATTTGTTCCACTCTGTGTCCAGGTCAGCCTGGTTGGCTAAACAGGCCTTCATGACGTTAAGGCACAGAGGACGGCAGGGCTTCAGGGAGGGCACGCCACGACACAGGGGGCAGTACCACTGACGCATCAGGCCACGCACACACTCCGAATCTACGGTCAGCTGGAAGCACAGCAGCACATAAGAATAAATGAGACAACACACTAGTTTGTGTTTGGGAGGGCAACTTTAAAACAGCCACAACTTCTCAATCTCCAATGTCTTTAATCCTCGTATTGTCCTTTAACTTTATGACCATTCAGGGTCCTTCAGGGAAATAATCAACCACCTTATTTAACTGCTTAAAAATACTATTCTTTAAATGTTTTTTCCACCAAAAAAAAAATGGTCTTTTAGAACTTTCTCAGCCCAAAAACAAAAATCTCATTTAAATTACTTTTTTGAACCCTTTAAGGGTCGTTTGTTAAAAATAAATAAATTTAAAAAAAAATGTTTAAAAACTCACAAAATATTTTGTTTAAGTTTTCATATATTAAAAAAAAGGCATTTTGCCCTATTAGTATGAAATTATTTTTTTTACTTTTTTTTTTTTTTTTATTCCAATCCAGAGTTTTGTGAAGACCCTGCAGACTCTTTAGAAGCAGCAGCTGAAAATGAGGCAAGGTTTTTTTATATTTGTTTTTAATATTTTTTTCTTTGTATTTTTATTTTTTTACTCTGGCCGTGAAAAAAATCGCTAATTTTAAAAATATTTTTCACCTGTACCGACTAATAGGAGCGAGCTGCAGGTGCACAGTCTGGCTAATCACTTCCTGCCTTTGGATAAACCGACAGCAGTCACTCACCGTCAGCCGTGGAGCATTTCATTCTGCATTCTGCATGCATGCAAATCAACTTTTTAGTACTAAATGTTTACTTGTGCACATTTTTTTGCTCCTTACATCCAAACAAAGCATTTTGTCGGCTGTGACTTTGGCCGAGGAAGACGTCATTTTTCGGGGACAAGGTGAACTTTGTCCTGATAGATTATTTCAGAGGCTCTCAAATATAAAAGCTGAGCACCACTTTGTGGGCTAATATAAAAATCAAAAGTACAAAAAGAACAAACCTTATTGAGAAATGCTTTATTTTATGATATAATAAATATGGGATTAAAATTTGTTTTGCAGTGTATTCTAACGTGGCTGATAATGAGTGTCATAAAGTTACTGTGAGGTTGAGAGCATTTGAAAAAGCTCTGACAACAATTTTAAAAAGTAAAAGGATTTTTAGGCTTTTTCAGATGGAAATCATACTTTATAACTGTGCCAAAATAAATAAATAAAAGCACAAACAAAAATAAATGTGTGGCTGATTTCCCCCCAAAAGACAACACAAGGGTCAATATTAGTGATGCACGAGATTATCGGCATGGTGTCGGTATCGGCCGATATTAGCGTTAAAGTTCAATATCGGACATCGATGATTCCTTCAAAATAAATCACCGATATAAAAGGGCGCTGTTTTTGTTTGGCAACCCAGCGACAAAGATGTCTGCAGTGCACAACGTGATGATGTCACGCACGCCTAGCTGATCTGATCACGGTGCAGAGGAAGAAGTCAATATGTCAGCCGTGTGGAAGTTTTGTTTTTTCGTTGAGGATGTCGGATTCCGAAGATTTTTGGACTACGTTGAGCCTCGCTACATCGTCCCCAGTCAGAGATATTTTTCCGACGTAGCCTTACCCGAGTTACAAGCCGTTATTTACGACGTCATTGAGACGCTAACAGCCGATAGCGCTTGGGTGAGTTTTACCACAGACATTTGGATGTCATGTTAGCCCCGTTAGCATGATTAGTGTTACAGCACAATGGATAGACAAAAACTCTGAACGTAAAAAGTCTGTCCTTCATGCACAGGAGTGCAGAGGATCCCACACTGCAGCGAGGAACCTGGAACAAGCCTCCACAAGTGAGACAGCATCGCAGGTGACTGATGCTAATAAATAATATTTAACACTTTTCATTTAATATAAGTTAAAGTGCTATGCATATCATATGGCTGTTACTGAATTTATGTCACCAGCTCTTACAGCTGTTACACAATGTTTGTCGCAAATAAGCCTAAATAAGAGCACTATGTTCTGACAAAGGAAAGTATATAAAAAATATTGGTATCGGTTATCGGCCAAATAAGTTTTAACATATTAGATATCGGCCAAAAATCCAATCCCTATTCAATACTGCAAATAAACAACATGCACTGTTATGAAATATTATTCTTTGATGGTTAAAATTAGTTATTTATAAATTCCCTTCAGTTTATTTATATAGCACCAAGTCACAACAGAAGTCATCTCAGGGCACTGAACAGAAAAATTCAATAATCATTTAGCAACTGATTGGTACTTAAAGTGAAACTAATGAATTGGACGTTCTCACTTAATCTCTTCTGGTGGATTATGATGAACTTTTCCTCCCACGTCTTGACAGTGATGAGAAGAGAATTGCTCAAACAATATGAATATATCAGAATAATTTGCATGGTCTCAAGACAGATGGGTTTTTGTTTGTTGAGTTGCAGTAAATTCAAGCAAATATTATACATATAAGCATTTTCACTTCGTTCTGACAGCGAGAACACGTTTCCATTTTAGCCTGCCAACAGAAAATATAATCTGAGGTGAAAGCTCTTTTTCCAGATGAGTATGAAATGAAGCCACTCACCTTTGTGGCCTTGCTCACAATATCCCGACCAGTAGCCAAGCCCTGAGAAAGTGCTCTGGCTGCGATGAACGCCCTCGACACCTGAATATAAAGCCAAATGTTACCGCTCATGAGTCACACGTTACATCCCACTCTCATTCTGCTGGAAGATGTGTCCAATTTATTTCTGTTACTCTGGATGTTACGCACTTGTGCTCTGAGTTTGCGGGGAACGTCACCAAACGGCTGCAGCTGTTCAGCGTGTTTGCTGACACATTCCAGATAGTCCTCGCTGAACTGATACTGGGGGTTGACCAGAGAGAAGACTCGCTCCACCAGTCTGGACCAGAAATCTGACAGCACTTCTGACAGACTCACACTGCCCCCTGTGGACAAAATCCAAACCAGTCAAGTTAAAAAAAAAATACATATCTGAATAAAGAGAAAAAGAAAAACAACACACTCTTGCATCTATAGTTTTCACTCACTGCTGAAGGGTGTGCATTAACTTTCAAGCTTTATTATGCAGAAAAATGTAAAGAGACTTTGTTGGTAAAGAGATTAACCTTCTGCAAATACCTGACCTTACTTTTTTCTGCTTGGCTACACAAAACACTGGCAACCTGGTGGTGGAATAGTGAAGTGCAGGAAGCTATTCAAAGAAAGAGGTTAGCCAAGAAGAAATATGAGTGAGAGGACTGAAAAGAGAGAGAGACAGGAATATAAGGAGATGCAACGTCGAGCAAAGAGAGAAGTGGCAAAGGCAAAACAGAAGGCGTATGATGAGTTGTATGGGAGGCTGAACACTAAAGAGGGCGAGAAGGACTTGTACCGATTGGCGAGAAAGAGGGATCAGGCTGGAAAGTATGTGCAGCAGGTTAGGCTTGTTAAAGATAGGAATGGTAATGAGGCAAGGCGAGAGAAGTTTAACAGAGACCAGCTCAGGTTGATTTAAAAGCATAAATTCACCTCTAGCTAGCAAGTTGTGCCAGAAGAATGATGATGAAAATGAGAAGAAATAAGTCAGTGTTTGTCAAAGCTAAGCAAGCTGATAAAAGAAATACTCCAATGAAAGGAAACTGAAAAAGACAAACAAGAACGTGTGACAGCTGAGTGCTGAATTACTTTGTGGAGGCTAAAACAAAGTTGTTAAAGCTAAAAACACTAGTTAAAAGTCAAAATTAGTAAAATTCTAGCAAGAAGCTAGGCTGGCTAAAAGCTAAAATAAAAAGCAAATGGCTAGCTAAAAAATAAAAACTATAAACAAAAGACCAAAACAGAGCATGCATACTGAAGCAGATTTCAAAGAAAGCAATATTTTTGTTTGAAATGAAGACATCTCAACGTATTTCTTGGGGGAAAATATCTGGATTTTTTTTTATATAATAGTCAAGCATCCATCTAAATGAGCTAAAATAGCTCAGAGCATGCAGAAGTAGTGCTGAATCAGCGTCCCCGCTATAAAGCACAACGCAACAAGAGCTTAGTGTATAATAAATAAAAATTTTAAATTAACAAGATAAATGTCAAAACATCAGAAAATATTTTCTTCCACACCCTGCTGTCAGTTTGGGTGCTTATCAGTGTCTGTGACTGTACAATCTGCAGTCTACGATACGGCCTCAAATGATCCAAACATGCACGTTTGGCCGACAAAAACAGTTTGACTAAGCAGCAACAGCCTGCAAAGAGACTCGCCAGCAAACGTCTGTCATGCCAAAACAGAGCGATATGGAATAGAATTAGAAACAGTCTGGCATCCATGGGAATCCAATTTTCTCCTTTTTTGTCGCCTCCAATTCCACTTGGCATGTCAGGACTCCTCAAAAAGACAAAGCTGCTTCTTTACTGCTGTCCAGGGTGGCTCTGGATTTACTAAAACAGCAGCTCAGCAAGAAATTACTGCAGCTATTTTCAGACTATTATCGTTAATTAGAAAACCACTTTATTTCACGGGAGTTTGTTCCTTAAAAAAAAACAACGTTATTTATTTGTTCTAACTGATGGAAATCCAGATGAAACTTCCTATTTGTTTTTATATTGCAGAATCACCCTGCTAGCGTTGCTTTACAAAGACCTCCTGAAAATATGAGACTGAACCAAGTCTCGTGGCGATCAAACCAACCAGAATAATATCTGCGAAGCTCCACAAACAGCTCCTGGAAGACGTGCGCGTTCTGAGTGAAGAGCAGGCCGTAGGTCTTGGTAAACATCTGGTTCATGGACTTCTCAGAAAGTTCTATAAGATCTCGGAAGAAATCTGCAAAGAGACACGACGAGCAGAAATTAAACACGAGTCTGTCGCCCTTTTAGCCATGTTTCTGTAAAGGCCCACAATCAACACTCCATCCTCTTCATTTTAAGATTATCAGCTTATTGGGACTTCCGATCCTCCACCGTTGTACGTGTACTCTAATCTGCCTTCAAGACTCAAGTGCAGTCTCCCACACTGCAAGTGTTTTTCCTGACTCACAGCAGACATTATATAAAAGTGTGAAGGAAAGAAAAGGTGATAACGGTCCAAGCAGGTAGGAGGAGAATGTGTAAATTCAGCTCTGTGGCGAGGCTGCAATGCAACCCTGCAGCACTGCAAACAAAACAGAATTTAATCTAATGAGGGCTAAAACCTCTTAAATACAAATGCTTATTAAATCCATTAGAGTTTACAGATACTTAAAATGCCAGTTAACGCATTTTACTGAAGGTCAGTTTAAAGGCGGTGCTTGGAGCTCCTCAGCCCGTGGATCAAACGCGTCTGTGGTTCTGGAGAACAGATGTTACGATGATGTCATAGTGGTTGGTTTAAGTCGGGGTTTGACTATTTTAAATTTTACAACAGGAAGTCTGGAAAGGCGGTTTAGAAAATATCTGTTTTAATGAGGCGAACGCGTCTAATTAAAGGCTCCGCGGTTTGTAAAGTGCATTAGTCAGCAAATCTGGACCCGTGTTGCTTCACTTGTGTTTTTTAGTTCGGTTGAAAATTTGATTCCCCCCAACTTTATTGCGCATGAATTAAACAAATAGAAACCACACGTGCACCAAGTCTGTTCTTCAGATCAATTTAGAATATTTGAACATCTGGATGAAACGGTGCCTTTACATGTTCTAAATATGTTTCCAAGTCATTAACTGCTTGAAATCAGTAAAATAGGATGAACAGTTTGTGTGTCTTCTGTCTTCTAAAGACAAGTCTTCTAATAAAATGAATCAGGTTCGGGCGTCTTCGTCTCTCACCGTCAAACTTGCGGTGTCTCTGGGTGAATGTGGTCAACAGGAACTGGCTGTTGTCCTCGATGGCTTTGAGAAAATCCTTTTCGCTCTGGAAGGACAGAGTCTCCTCCATCTGACTGGAGCAGCAGGTATAATCCTGAGGACAGAGACGCAGGTGCTCACCTGTGCCAAAAGAAAGAAAAAAAACATCAGTAGAAGAAGAAAGGTTAAGACAGATTGTTTAACATTTAAATGGTGGGATTTATGGCTATTTTCTGGGCTCCGGATCATTTGGCTCTTCACTACTTGTGAAGAGCTGTTCAGGAGATGAAAAATGAAAGGTGAGCTAAACTAAAAGATCCAGATCCCAGAAAAGTGCCATAATTCCCATGAGTACATTGATTAGTCAAAACAATTCAGTTCAGTTTATTTATATAGCGCCAAGTCACAACAGAAGTCATCTCAGGGCACTGAACAGAAACATCCATATACATAAAAAGTAAGTTAACATTATTTATCTGAGGAGCAGACTGCTTTGAGTTTAACTTCATCGCAAACTCTCATCTTGAGCGAGCATGAAGGCGACAGTGGAAAGGAAAAACTCCCAAGCTTTAGCGGAACAAGGCTCAGGACAAGTGACCATCTGCTTTGACCGGCTGCGTTTGAGAGGAACAGGAAGGAGGAACGGATACACAATGGCAGGTCGAGAATCACACGACGACTCTGACGTCACGTGCGCCGCAGAACGGTAGCACTGACACGCCGCTTCGACTTGACATGTTTTCTGTTCCTGTTGTTTTTGTTTCAACTTTTATCGCACCTACGTTGCACGGTACGGGTTGAACGCAACGCACTTCTGGAGTTTTGTGTGTCGCTGCCTTGTCATCGTGACACCGTGGTTCAGTTCCTGGCCCCCCTCCAGCCTCAGGCCTGTCATGGTGGCCGTCTCCATGATCCTCCGTCCACCTGCACAGACTGAACTCTACGGACCCATTCGGTTCCATGGAGAAACCTCAATTGTTCTGCATCCACCAGACCCAGTTCTGGAGTGCAGTCTGGGAGGGCAGCTGCTGCAGTCCTTATTACCATCAAGCTGCTGACGGGATCTGTTAACTAGACCTGCTAACGCTGCTAAAAATACCACGCCGCTAACCAAACCACACCGCTAGTACCACGCTGCTAACTGGACCATGTTGCTAAGATAACCTCACTGTCATCAGAACCACTCTGCCAATAGGACCATGCTGCTGTAGATTGATTTCTTTTTCACTTTTGGTGCCTTGTTTCTGTATTTTTGTTGCATGCTTTGATATTTGCTGTTGTTTTGGGGTTTTTTGCGTGTGTTTTTTTTTTTTTTTTTTTTTGGCGAGTCAAGACGGTTCTTCTCGTCTTGAGCATTTCATTGTATTGTTGACCTTGTGTTGATTTTACATATGAACAATAAACCAAACCTGAATCTGACCATGTTTAGATAGAAATATCAAATGCAAACTCTTCATTTGTATCAGTTCATTTTAAGAAATCAGGTCAATTTGTCCTCCAGTAGTCGAAGCCTATGGCCGCATAACAAGCCAACCCTAACTATAGGATTTATCAAAAAGGAAAGTTTTAAGCCCAGTCTTGAAACTGGACAATGTGTCAGCCTTATGGACAGAAACTGGAAGTTGGTTCCACAAAAGAAGAGAATGATAACTGAAAGATCTTCCTCCCCTTCTGCTCTTGGAAACTCTAGGAACCGCAAGTAAGCCTGCAGTCTGAGAGTGAAATGCTCTATTATGAAAATTTGGGACAATAAGATCTGTAATATAAGATGGAGCTAGGTGAGTGGGTCACCTTTTAAGAAGAGGGTCGGTGTCTCCTGCTAATGAGAAATTAATCTGGAAACGTTAAATAAATAGAACGCTCTGGGAGAAAATTGCATTTTGACTGCATGAATTATTCAGGTTTCAGATTTCTTTCATCTCCGATCAGTTTGAAAGGTAATAACCTGAGCAAACAACAGCCAGGAGGAGGAGATGAGGACATCACAGTGTTTCTCTAACATCATTACATCTGACATGAATATGCGTCTGTTAATACATTGGAAAGTCTCTTTCTCAACTCCTCCCCGGCTGACGCTCCTCTCGGCCTCTTTTGTTGTCTGCGTGTCTCACCATCAGCCGTTCTTATCCGTCTATTTCCATTTCTAAACTGCCTCCCTTCATCCCTCCCTCTCTCTCCCACTCCTGGCCATCTGCTCCCTCCTGGCCCACGGGACAGTGAGCAGAGAGACAGGGATAGTCCAACGCACACACAAAAAAAAAAAAAAATCAATCAATTCTGCAGTTGCCTCAGATGCTCTGATTTGCCATGGAATAAATCCTCACAATTACTCGAAGGGGAGCTCCATGTCTGTCTGGGACTGTCCGTGATTTGGAGCTAAGCCAAAATGAAAACTAGATTTTCAGACAAGTCTTCTTGTAGGGATTCCCCCTTTTCTTGTAAAACCAATCACCCGTCACAAAACTTGAAATAATCCCCCTCCATGAAATTCCAGAGATTATAATCCACAAAATATCTCGTTTCTGAAAATGAGATGATCTCAGAGCCTGCATGGATTAAAACGGTGGTCAAAGCCTAATTAGGGGCGAGGTTCTTTGTTGCACCGGTGTTGGCAATTTGCTCATCCCCTTAATCATCCCATTTAAACCACACAGAGGGGTGGAGGGGGTGGGTGTAATGTGGTTTAAACAGCTCTGCATTGTTTCTCTGGAGAAAAACATCATGATGCACCGACATTCTCTCCCTGGGGCTTTTTATTTGAGCCACATTGCTCTTTCTTTCAGTTTCTTTATTACTGATTTGCTGTCCATCAATGAAGGTTGCAGGTTTTAAATAGTTCTGAGCAGCGTGATAATAACTTTAATGTTCAGTGTTGGAGTACTAATAAACATATTGTGATTATTTTTATTTTAATAAATGACTGGGGAGCCGATCTTACCGGAGATTTGAGTCACCGGAGCGGAGTTGGTGCTGTACCCCTTCTCTGAGTACACCTGCCGGGTGTCGGAGCAGCTCCTCCCCGCTGCCGCCGCGGGGCTCCGGGTCCCCGACAGGACTGCGACCGCGCAGAGCCAGACCAGCAGCCGGTTCTCCATCCTCCCCACCAGACTCAAACAACAGCCACCAGTGAATGAGAAGGAGGTGGTTTGTAGAAGTTAGATCTAATATATGCTAAATGAAATATGAAAAGTAGCTATAAAAGAGTAACTGCATCCAAAATCATGAGTCTTTTAAAGCAGCATGGTCTCCTCTCCATAAGTACAACAAACATCCGGTCACGGTTTTACATCACCGACGTCTCCATCAACCGTGTCCAGGTGGGTTTTCCTTCTTAAGCAGACCGGATGAGGCAAATAAAAGGAGAGAACATGAGAAAGTCCCGGCCAGCCCTCCACCATCATCTGACGCACAAACTGCGTCAAGTTCACCGCGCTCAGCGATGGCGACACCGGAAAAGGCGGACTTCAAAATAAAAGAACTGTTCGGGGCCGGCCACATGTCGACTGGTCCAGCTGTGTGAAGAAAATACAAGTGAAATGCAATTTAATCTGCATAAAAGTATAATGGATACAATGAGCGCTTTAGAAAATATATCACATTGTGAGGCACTTGGCAGCAAATGTTGCATCAATATCTCTTTATTTTTTCAGCTAAATGTGATACTCTATATTTCAAAACAACTTGAAATGTTTTTTCTACTTTTCATCAGTTTTGTGTTCTATGTAATCTGTAAACAAAATCTTTATTTGTGAGTGTGTGTGTGTTTGTTTGTGAAAGCACTGTTTATAAGTCAATAAAATGAACATCAAAGTTCATGCAGGTTAAAAAAAAAAAAAATCCAGCAATGTTCAGTCTGGTCATCTGGACGGTTTCTTTCTTTCTTTTCTTTTTTGAGATGTTTCATCCTTCATCCAAATGATCCACAAACAAGGAGCCACAAACAAATTCAGTCCCACAAGCAGCAAGCTCCCTTAGTGGAACAACCAGTTTGCTGGTGATATGATGGTTTCTGGGACCCGGGCCCTCTGCCCTGTCGACTCCTCTGAGGCAGCCATAGCCAACCAAAGTGGTTCAAAACATCAAAGTTCATGCTCAATAATCCAGTTAGAAAATCCAATAAAGCTCAGTCCGTTCATCTGGACAGTCTTCAAACGACTTCAATAAAATGAAGTTGTTTAAAAATAAAAAAAATAAAAAATTACTTCACAATGTGATGCGCATCCAAAACTGTTTTAGAGTTGGCACTAATTAAAAGCAGGACAACTAAAAAAGAAGGCATTTCAGTTTATTGGTTAACATAACATTTCCATTACAGCTTAACAACTGCATGCAATCCTGAATCATGAAATTCAGATTTGAAGCTATTTTTGTATTGTATGTAATTAAACTCAGTACAGTTCAATCTAATACAATCTAATTATATAAGTGTTTACAGTATTGCTTGCTGATGGGTTTGAATGGTATTTCTGTTTGAACTTTCAGAATCAGTAAGTATTTTATTCTGAAGGTTAATACCGGAAACTTTGATTCAACATGGCTACTTTGACTCTCATGAAAAGGGAACTGAACAATAAAACCACGCAGAGAAATGAGGGCTAGTCGGGTCCGGTGTAATTGGGTGTGGGTCTACTGAGCCCAACACCTTAGGGTGGCAAAAACCTGGCAGGCAAACAGAAGCGAAAAGATAAAACACAAAATTAAATCATTAAAACAAGTTACGCAGAGTTCACGGTCAGGTTTAATTAAACCACTTAGTAACAGTGCACTAAAGATGACCAATAGCCATGAAGTGCCCTTTTGGAAAGAACCAATCATCTTCAGGTTCGAGAAAGTTCTGGCCAATCCAGAACGACGAAACTTTCGCGCGCATCTGATTTTCACGAAGTTACGTCGAAGAAAGAGAAAAGAAAGGCAAAAAATAAAAACGGAATCATATTAATAACTTTTTCACTTATAATTTGTTTGTCGGTGCTTGGCAGTCCACCTTCTGATTCTTGGTGTCCGTTCAGCCAAAATGTCAAGTAGAAGCTCCATATTGGACAGGTAAAATTCTCCTGCGCTGTATTGTTGTGTTTTTGTCCCAAATTTAAAAACTACTCAACTAATTATAAATAATTTGTCTCAGTTGCATATTTATTCACAAATGTTCATATGCATTATTATAATGTAATTAAAAAATAAAATATAGCACAGTTCTCTTTAGCAGCTGGTTAAAACGAACAGTGTAGCCTTTTGCGATTAGCTTAAGGCTACACTTAGCAAGAATGCTAATTTTTTTAGCAGGAATGCTAATGATGTGATGAAACAAAGTATCCAAAGTAGCCTGTATAAAACATTTTTGCAAAACTTGCATCCTAATATGCACTAATGTTAAAGCTAAAATAGGTAGTTATTTAAAATATTTGTATACATTTTAGCTCTTAAGTCTTATGGCTTTTGTATTATTTTTAGTCAGAGATTTGTTAAAACTCAGTTATCTTTTGTCAGTCTTGAGGAGTTGGACTACTCTGATCCTGAAAGTGTGCATGAGGCTCAGATGAAACCCACAAACCGGAGAAAGCAGGTGGCACCTGGGCCTCAGGTGAATTACTTCATTATTTATGATAGATTTAACAAAGACAAGACCAGTGATTTTATTTATATGTTTTTTTTTTTTTTTTTGTTTTTTTTTGTGGTTGACAGAACTGCATCATGTATCAGTTGCAGTTAAAGATCAAAACCACACTAAAATTTACCATGAAACACGTGCAGAATATAACATACTTAACTACTTATTTCTGAATAATTCTTTCTTCTATCAAGCCGCTTAAGAAACCCAGGAGGAATGCTGCTTTACGGGTGCTGTCCAGCCCCAGCAGTAGCCCCGTCTCTGTTACTCCAGAGCCCTCCTTGCAGCAGCAGTCTTCCTCCCAGGGGACATCCAGACAGCTCTCTCCCAGCAGATCTTTGAGAAGTGTGAGCGAGGGAAACCAGGGAATCAGTGCAAAGGATATCTATTGTGCTGTTTGCTCAGGAAAAAGTGCGATGATGGTGAGTAAACCTTAAACAAAGAGCAAAAAAAGAAGAGCGGAAGTATCAACACAGATTACCACATGAAGGGAGGGAGGTACTGATGGTGGCATATGTAATGGGAGGAGAACCAAGCTTACAATGACAGAGGTTGTAATGTGCTGTCAGTGGCTGATTGATGTGATCCTAGAGAGTAGCCTTTGATAAGCAAAGAGGAAGGTGCAGTCTTCTCGTTGAATCGCATACACAATAATTGGCAGCACACGTTCATCTAAAGTGTTGTGCAATAGTTTCTCGTGTGGATAAAAACTAAAGAAGGACCACATGACACCAGCAATAACTATGGTGAGCTGTTGTAACAACACAGATTATAAAAGTTGTAGATGGACTGAGAAAGTAAAGCAAAAATCCATGTTGTTGATGTGTTTTAATTATATCATCTGTTCTTCAATCTGTGTGCGTCATTCTGACTGGCTGCTTTCTCCTTGTCAATCTTTAGACTGTGGTGGATGAGTGGCTGGACAGCTACAAACAGAGCCGAGAGGCGGGGTTGCTGGTGCTCATCAACTTCATTGTTCAGTGCTGCGGATGCAAAGGTCAGAGGTTAAAAAGGAGGCCAGGGGATGGGTGTTAGCAGGTGGGAGGGAGGGGTTAAAGTTGAAGAGATTATCCTTCCATCTTCAGCTCAGGTTATCATTTGTGGTTTTGATCTAGGTGTTGTTTTATTTCTGTTTGTTCTCATCAAAAATATGTTTAAATAAGATGGGATGAAAATGTCTAAAGTTCTAAATTAGTTTTTTTTATTTTTTATTTTTTTATCTAATGTGAAAGTTCTTCATTTTTGTCTAGGTGTGGTCAGCAGAGAGATGCTTGACAGGATGCAGAATGCTGAGATTATCAGCACACTAACCAAGGAGTTTAATGAGGTGCAAAAAATAATGCAATTGTTCACACACAGTTCATATTTGTTGTTAATTAGTTCTAAAATTAAATGTGATTTTACAGCTATGGAAGTGATAGTTATTTGTTAGAACTTTGTAGAATTATAATCCTTCTGGAATAAGTTTAGAAACCCTAATATTCTCCATGTCCCAAGAGATTATGATCTGAAAGATGGTGCGTAGCATAACTGAATATGCTAATTACTATCTAATGTTTATAAATGAACACAATAATGAGTTAATCACCTAATTTTTGTCATTAGGAGAATAAAACCTACAGCTTTCTGCCCCATATATTTATACTAAACAAAAATAACAACTGCATTTTCTTTGTCCAATTTTTTCCTCTTTTTTTCTATTTTATTTATTTTTCTTCTGTCAGGATTCAGTGAACTACCCTTTAAGCACTCCAGGCCTTCAGCTGAAGCATTTTAAAGCCGGTCTGTGTGAGTTTGCCCGGGTTCTGGTGCGCTCCTGTCGAAATAGCTTGATATATGATGAATACCTCTTCCCCTCCCTGCTGGCCTTGCTCACCGGTCTGTCTGACTCCCAAGTTAGAGCCTTCAGACACACCAGCACTCTGCTGGGTATGCACTTCAGTTCTTTATCAGAGCAAAATACATGAAAGAAAAAACAGATCAAAATCACGTTTCTTGTGCTGTTTCCCCCCCCCCCCCCCCCCCCCGCATCTTTTTGTTAATCTAAAGTAATGTACAGTAAATTTTTAAAATGTTTCAGGAAATATGTACTGCATTTGTTTTTTTTTTTTACATTAATTGCTCTTGGGGACATTAATTAGTTTCCGCTTACTCCTAAAAATAGGATTTTTCTTTTTGGCTGTTTTTCTTTTTTAGCCACGAAATTGATGTCAGGGTTGGTGGAAGTAGCTGTTGCAGTGAATGTTCAGCTGCAGACCACCCAACGCCGTTACGATATAGAGATCAGTAAGAGGCCAAACGAAAGAGCCTCTGACAAAGTGGAGCAACTGAAGGCGATTCTCAGTGAGGTGAGACATGAAAACAGTGATACAGACATTGCACAGAAGTTTTCACGTTTTGACAAAATATGTGTTCATATCGAAGATTTGTTTCAACTATAGCTTTTGTGTTTATACATTTAAGATTTTCCAAACATTTTCTGGATTTATCATGTGTTAATTTATAGTACTGTAATACATTTATTCATTTTGATTTGCACAGGCTGTCTGCTGCGTAGTATGAAAAGGTTTTTACTGTTATTTTCACCAAATAAAGTGATTAAAATGCCCAGTGAAATGGAACAGTATTCCTCATGGATTTGTCATTGCTGATTTAATAGTAGAGTACATACTGTATAGCTTGAGAATAGATATTAATTTAAAAAATGTTTGTATGTTACATGTTAAAATGCCACAAGTTCTTGAAAAACAGAAAAATGTATTCCTTTATAAAGATTATAAAGAGTGAACAGATGGACAGACTTGAAACCTTATACATCTGTTATTGATGTTTTTTGTGTTCATGTGCGTTTAAGCTGAGCCTCTATATTGATGTTGTAGTTGCAAGAGAACAGAGAAGAGCTCTCCTCCATGATGAACGCCACTTTCCGTGGCGTCTTTGTACATCGTTATCGTGATCAACTGCCTGAAATCCGTGCAGCGTGCATTGAGGAGTTGGGCCTGTGGCTGAAAACAGACCCGGAAGACTTCCTCAATGATGGATGCCTGAAATATCTGGGGTGGATGCTGAACGACAAGGTAAACACAAATTGGACAAAATAATAGAAAATAAAAAAAAATTAAGCATTATCCTATGTTACCTTAAATTTTAATAAGTGGATGATCTGTGTCTGCAGTTTAACTGATCTCAGTTAAAGTCTTAACACTAAAATTTCTTTCTTTTTTTATTGTTTCATTTTTCTATACAATTTCATAGAATTTGAATTCTCAGGTGGTCAACAACCTGAAAAATCATTTACCATGTTTGTAAATTTATGTGCACAGAAAAAAAATCATTATAAATGTATTCAGGTTTGTGTTTGTGTGTAGAAACCTTGTTGCTGTACTTTTTGTTTTCTTTCAGCAAAGTCCAGTGCGTCTGCAGTGTGTGCGTGCCCTGCAGGATCTGTACCAGGAGACAGAGTTCATTGGCCGCCTGGAGCTTTTCACTAGCAGATTCAAAGTGAGGCATCCCTCTGGATTGGATTTACGCCGCATTTAATGTGTGTTTTCTCCATTTTTGTCTCCTGTCCATTGTTTCAGCTTTTATATTGTTTCTACTTTGCTGCCTGTCTGTCTCTCCTCCCTTTTTGCCTCCTTCCTGTATTTCCATGCCATTTCATGTTTTTTTTTTTTTTTTTTTTCCTCACTGCTTCTGTCTGTCTGTTATGATTCCACCCTTTGTCTGGGCACATGCCTGCTTTTTGTTAATTGCTGCCAATTACTGATATAATAACCCCCACTCAAACACAGGAAAACCTTCCTAAGCTACATGTGCTGCTGCAGATAAATGGTCTTTTTATGTCATGGATTTCTGCCTAAATCAGTGGGCTTGTGCGTGTGTCACTTTTGTGGGCGTGGGTACATTTATGCATATCAATGCATTTTATTTATTATGCATGAAGTGTTTGTGTGCTGGCATGATTGTGCATTAAGTCTCTGTGTGTTACAGTGCATGTGCATGTCTGTGTGTGTTTAGGAGAGGATTCTCAACATGGTGCTGGACAAAGACTTAGACGTGGCGGTGGAAGTGGTCAATCTGTTGCTGATGATCCAACAGTGAGGGCTCTCTCTCTTTCTTTCTCGCTCTCTCTCTTTCTCTCTCGGTTTCTTTGTGCTGCTGTCTTTGTTTGCACAGATATGTTATTTTAGGAGATCAAAAATAGCTGAATATTGTAACTTTCTTGAACCAAAATTTTAAAGCTGAAATTGTGAGCTTCACTGATCAGCCAAAACATTATGACCAATGGCGACATAAAAATAAAGCACTCCTCGTCTTGTTAAAATGTAATGCTCTGCTAGAAAAGCCAACATATTGGACTAAACTTTGACATCTGTCACCTACCTGTAAATGTTCTGCCATCCAGAAGCAAGCCCAACTTCAGTTGACCCAATCCCACAAGCCACAGGACCAAATATTTTTTTAATGGTCCCATTATCCGAGGCTAATTTTGTGTGTCTGTGCCTTGCATCATCAGAATTCAGTCAACAAGAGTCAGAATGCTCATGTTATGGATATAGTCCTTTTCAGATGCAGTTTAGAAGTGCATTAAAATGTTTTCTGATGAGCTTGATGGAGTTTGATTTTGCTCATTTGTTCATTTTGTTATTTGAAACATTAAGGCTTTCTCAACAAACAAACGACAGCCACTTGACATTTATAGCAGGAACTGTGATTTCGCTTTTCCTAAAAATTTCACATGGTTATGTGTAAACTAGATGATTTTAACTAGAGAAATTACCTTGTAACAAAGGAGTTCTATGTGCTACATTTTTAATTGTATCTACAATCCATGTTTACAGTAAGAAAAAAATAATACACCTTGCAAAAAAGTCAAATTTTAAAAAATCATAATTACGGTAAAACCCAAAGCAATATTAATTTACTAAAACTTTTTTCTTGTTTATTATATATACAAAACTGACCAGTTTGTTTGTTGCACCATTTCCAGGAATGCAGAGGAAGGCCTGAAAGAGGAGGAGTGTGGACACGTCTATCCTTTGGTTTATGCTTCACACCGAGGTCTGGCTTCTGCAGCCGGTGCATTCCTCTACAACAAGTATGCGCTCTTCCTGCAAATATACAGTTTCATATATTGGGCACGTTTTTACAAATAGTTCAGTTTATTTATATAGTGCCAAGTTACAACAGATGTCTTCTCAGCGCACTGTGCAAAAGCATTAACATGTATTATAAAAGCCAATTAGTAAAAGTTATATCTAAGGAAGCCAGCAGATTGCGATTAATCTTTATTTCGTCACAGTCTCCCATTCTGAGCAAGCACAATGGCCACACAGTAAAGGAAAAACTCCCTTTTAACAGGAAGAAACCCCCAGTAGAGCCAGGCTCAGGATGGGTGGCCATCTGATTTGACCAGCTTAGGTTTGAGAGGACAGGAAGGAGAAACAGACAAACATAGAATTACAGGTCCAGGTGTACTTTCTATTAAAAGAAAGACAAAAAAAACACATGGAAATGATAGAAATATTCACAAATACAAACATGTAGAGTAGAGTAAGTAAAGCCAGCAGCATAGTAAGGAAATGTGGCCAGTTTGTCCTCCCACAGTCTAAGCCTATATCAGCACAACTAAGGGATAGCTCAAGATACCCAAGCCGATCCTAACTATAGAATGTATCAAAAAGAAAAGACTTAAGCCTAATCTTAAAGTAGGCAATGTGTCAACCTCACAGACAGAAACTTGAAGTTGGTTCCACAAGAGAAGAGCCTGATAACTGAGAGCTCTGCCTCCCATTCTACTCTGGAAACTTTAGGAACCACAAGTAAGCCTGCAGTCTGAGAGCAAAGTGCTTTGTTTGGAAAATATGGAACAGTAAGATCTATATTATAAGATAGAGCTAGGTTGTTGAGGGCTTTATATGGTAGAAGTAAGATTTTACCATACCATACCATTTTATTAATAGAGCACTTAAAACAGCGACAAGGCCAACCAAAGTGTTCAGCGATTTGTAGACATACAAGAGTGTTTTGAACTGGATTTGAAGGTGAACCGGTAACCAGTGCAGGGAGGCCAAAACTGGTGTAATGTGCTCTCTTGTCTGTACTGGTTAAAAATTGGGCTGCTGCATTATGGACCAATTGTAGACATGCAATGGAGGTCTGACTAATGCCAAACAGGAGTGAATTGCAATAATCAAGCCTAGATGTAATGAATGCATGTATTACTGTCTCCAGGTTATTTTTGGACAATATGGGCTTCAGCTTAGAAAGTCACCTCAGTTGGAAACAACAGGATTTAACAATCATGTTTGCATGACTGTTGAGTTTCATGGAAGGGTCCATTATCACTCCCAGATTTGTAACTCTTTGTTTTTCTGACAAGGCTAGAGTAGAATAGTTGATGCAGTGTTTCTTGATTGTGTCGTTGAAAGGGAACAACATGACTTCAGACTTCTTTTCATTGAAACTTAAGAAATTTAAAGCCATCCAGTCCCTGATGTCAGCCAGGCAGTTGAGCAGAGGTTGAATAGATCATGAACCACTGTGTCTTAGGGGGAAGTAAATTTGACAGTCATCGGCGTAGATGTGAAGGGGTGTGTTGTGTTTCTGGAAAATAGCACCAAGTGGCAGCAGATATAAAGAGAATAGGAGGGGACCCAGGATGGACCCCTGCGGAACCCCCCATTTAAGCTCTGCCTCTGCGGAACTAAAATCCTTGATGGAGACACAAAAGGATCTGTCAGTGAGATTTTGAATTCAATTCTGAATTTCACAGGGAGCCAATGGAGAGAATCTAAAACTGGAAAAATTATCTCTCCTACCAACTCTCATTAAAACTCTGGCAACTGAATTTTGGATCAAAGCCTTTTTTGTTTTGTTTTATTTGCTATAGTCTAGTCTAGATGTGATAAATGCATGGACCGGTTTTTCTGCTTCATTTCTGGACAAGATGTTTCTAATCTTAGCAATATTGTGCAGGTGGAGGAAAGGGGTCCCGGTAACTTTTTTTAATGTGGGGATTAAAAGACATATCCTGATCAAAAATAACACCAAAGTTTTTTACATTAAAACTGGAGGTCAAATTACCAGTAATGCCATCCAGAGGAAATTAAAGGCTGCAAAGTTTATTTCTAAAATGCTCAGGTCCGACAACCACGACCTCTGTCTTGTCTGAGTTTAAAAGCAGAAAATTAAAGATCATCCATGTATTTATGTCTTTAAGTCCTGATTGTAATCTAAGTAACTGATTAGATTCATTGGGTTTCACAGACAAATATAACTAGAGTATTGTCAGCATAACAATGATAATTTATCTCATGCTGTTTAATAACTTTACCTAATGGAAGCATTTATAAAGTTTTCTACCTGGATTATTGAGCATGCATCAGGATATTTATAAAGTAAAGAGTATTTGTCCAAGCACGGAACCCTGAGGAACTCCATGACTAATTTTGGTGTATGAAGAAGATTAATTATTCACATTTACAAACTGGAATCTATCATTCTAGAGAAATACTACTTTTTAGTTATTGGGTGAGTTTGCTGTTTTGACCCCAGAGTAAGGGAGTAGCCAGAAGTAGAAGATTGCTGCCTCCATACGATTTAAAACCTTGATGTTTGAATTGTACATCATCCCAGGCTTTAACTTGTACATTGTATGCATTTTCTTTTTACGTTTGTTAGACTGAAACATGTAATTGATCTTGACACCCAGGGGAAGGATCAAAGCAACAATGCCCCCTTTTTTCAAATACTCATCTCCTTCTATATCCAGAGTGAGGTAGTGTTTCTGTTTTTCTTTGTTTCTTCTTCATCTAAATCATTCTTTGTTTAAAAAAACATTAATAACAGAACAATATTTCAAGTATTGAAGGAAATGTTTCATTCATTCATTTTCCCTCATACGATCTATTATTTTGTTTTATTAAAGTCAAAGCAGTTTCAGTTTTAATGCTACACTACGCAAAAGTCATGGCACAATATTATTCTTACTGTGAAGACAAATTAATTTGCATATTTTTTACAAGTACATCTTAAATTTAGAATAGTGTAAATATTAAGGTCAGTGTGAAACTAATGACCATGTTTTTTTGTTCATATAAATTGTACACTTTCTTAACAGTTTCATGAGCATGGGGCGTACCTGGTGGACAGTCTGTGGACTGCAGCAGGGTCTGAGCTGAAAGACTGGGAGACGATGACAACTCTGCTTCTTCAAGATTCTGGTGAGGAACAAGATAAAACTATTAACAACTGTATGAACTTCAATTACTGCTAAACAAAATCTGTATGAATGGTTTGGTTTTACACCTGCATTCCATAGAAACTTAAATTTATATTTTTGTTTTTTTGCAGTTGCATTAAAGTATTTGATCTGATCTTTTTTGTTCCTGCTTCGTGCTTCTCAACTCCTGTCTCTGCTTTTGTTTTGTCAGGATTGCTGTACGAGGAGGAGGGTGTGCTCTTGGAAATTATGATGTGTGCCATGAGACAGGCAGCACAAGCAACTCCACCTGTTGGGAGAAGTCAGGGCAAAAAGGTGCTTAAAAATACAGATGTAATCTTGGGTCTGTTGTTTAGTGAAACAGTTAAGGGGAGGGGAATTTAAAAGAATAATAATTAAGAAGCTTTGCTATGCATTTTTTGAAACCTAGGTCTTCAAAGTTGCTCATTCCATTGTTTGATTTTTACCTGAATTATTGAGCATGAACTTTGATGTTTTGAACCACTTTGACATGACTGTCTCAGAGAAGTTGATGGGGAGAGGGCAGGCCTCGGAGGCCATCTTAGCAGCAGAAAACTTTTTTCCACTATGGAGTATGCTGTGTGTGGGAATCAGTTTTGTTTGGTGGCTCCCAAGATTGAAGAAGTCCTTTGGATGAAGGACAAAATGTCTCAGCAACAGAAAGAAACTGCCCAGATGACCTGACTGAACATTGTTGGATTTTTACCTGGATTAATAAGCATGAACTTTGGTGCTAGGTTTACATCATTAATGTTTAAGACTTTTAAGACAAACACATTGTGATTATTATTTTCTTATTTTGCCACCTTTACATATTTATGGCTGTTTGCTGAATGTTTATAGATCCAGAGTATGAAGGATAAGAAGATCCAGGAACAAGACAGGAATTGCATTACCACACACTTCATCCCTATACTGCCACAGCTGCTTACCAAGGTACAAAACTAAAGTTTGTTTACTTTCACATACAGCTTGCTTGTTGCCATTTCACCTAAACATGAATATAATATACATATATATATTTATTTATTTATTTATTAACCAACCTGCAGTACTCGGCAGATGCGGCAAAGGTGAGCCTTCTTCTCAAAGCTCCTCTTTACTTCGATCTGGAGATGTTCAGTAGCACTCAGTGGCTGGAAAAGGTAGGAGAACCAAAGATCTGCAAGGCCATATGTCATTGTTTGAAATATTTTAAATGGCTTGAACAAGTCTATCCAAATGCAAAACAGCAAGTTGGAAAAAGCAAGCAAAGATGGGCTTTTTAAAGGTGAATTTTGTTTACTTTTTCTGATTTTTTTTTTTTTTTTCATCTTTCTGTCAGCATCTGGACCTGCTGCTGTCTCAGATATGTGGCATTGTCAAAAAGCACACAGAGGTCAATGTGCTGCAGGCTTGTAGCCACCTGGTTAGCACCCTCTGCTCAGACTGCTACACCTTCTCCTCCCGCGCACACCTGGCGTTCAGTCAGCTGATGGATGAACTGACTGAATGTTTCAACACCTACCTAAGTGACCTTCTGCAGGTCAGAAAGTATCAGTGAAGCAAATATAGCTTGTAAAACACTTATGTAGATCTAACAAACTTCTTCAGTGTTACTGCAAATGGTTGTGCTAACTTAATATAATATAAATAAATGTTGTAGTTGACTTTACATCTCACACTGTTAGGTGCAGTCAGGTAACAAGTCTTTATTTTTCAAGCCAATTGTAATGAATTAGCCTATAACAAAAGAGTAAATTTGACTTAAAATTCCACAATCGTTTAAATGCCTACAGTTTTTATAAATCGCAACGGGTGAGATTTTTCTTATCCACTCAAAATATTTATTTATATATGGTACTTTAAAACCTATTTCCTTTTATATCAGTGTGAGAGTGTGTGTTTTAACATCCAGGGAAATGCAGATGAGGATGACCTATACACTGCCACCACCGCCTTGAAGAGAATCGCTGCCTTGAGCAGGTAAATTCATATTAAACGTGTCTGTAGTACTGACTACTTCTTACAGTGCATAGAAATGTGTGGATGCAGTAATTGTGTGTTTTCCAGTGTTAAAGACCCAACTGGTTGGAAGCTGTTTGACTCCTGTCTTGAGTTACTGAAGAACAGGCTGGAGTCTATGGATTTTGACACAGAGGTTTTTAACATAGTCTAAGAATAAGCTTAACATAGTCTGAAATCATTAACTTAATTTTTTTCTGTTTCGATGGGAATAATTTAAAGATTTAGATTTATTGAAATTTCATGTTGTGGATAAGTGGGAGGTTAAAGGGGCTGTATTAAAATGTATTTATTTTACAGTAAAATTATTCTCCAAATATATTAAAGCTAAAATACATAATTTGATTTTCCTGTTAATGATAAAAACCCCATAGGGTTGATACTGATCTTTTTTTAAAGCCATTTAAAGTCAAATTTGTTTAACAAAATATTTATGTTGATAATGTTTGGTTTAGGGTAATTACAGAAAACTATTTGCATATAATTTGACACCTTAACAAAAGTCTATTTTAACCCCTCTGTGTAATTTCAGCTCATGGTGGCGGCTCTGAAATGTGCAGGATTTCATCTTATGTGGGCCAAAGTGAATGTAATCAACTTCAAGCCAGATAAGGTGCTTTCATTCAACCATTATTTATACAGGCTAGTCTCATTGAGCCATGAGGACTCATTTACAAGAGAGACCTGTTCCAGACAGAACAGTAAAAGTTAAAAAAAAAGTACAGAAAACAATAACCAAACAATAAGTCGAATCAAGATTCTTTATTGTCATTCGCACTACAGGTGGTGGAATGAAATTGTGTACACGGGGTCCCAGTTACATCTAACAAAAGTATAAATTGTAAAGAAAAACAGTAGTAAGATCTAAGAAATACACTAAAACTAAGAATACACTAAGCACAAATAGTACAAAAACAATATACTGAACAATAGCAGCACAAACTTGTTTGTGTGAGCACGTGAGTAGAAATGAACACAGCACCGTGAAATAAATAACAATAAACTACAAAAATGCAGTCAACATAAAAGTAGTGTTATAAAACGATAAATCGGGGTACCGTAAAACAAAGCGAAATACTAAAAACAAACAAATTTGCTTTGATTTTTCTATTGACATTATCAAACGTTTAAAATCCCCTAAAGAAATCAAGTTGGACAACTTCAGTTCCTGTTGCAAGGTATTCCAGGTTGCAGGAGCTGAGTAGATACAGGCCTTTCTTTGCCAAGTTCAGTCTGGACTGAGGGGACGCTGCAGGTAGTGATGGCCTGAGAGTGCATGTTGTAACTGCACTGACGACATGACATGTGGAAGGAGATCTAAGAAGGCAGCAGACCAAAGAGGGATTTATAGATGAAAATGAACCAGTGTAGATGTACGTGTAGATAAGTTTTTCTTTTTTCAGCTGAGGCAGATGTCTAAGCTGAAGCCCATACTGTCCAAAAAGAATCTTGAGACAGTGATCCATGTATTCATATCATCCAGGCTCGATTACTGCAATGCACTTCTGTTTGGAATTAATCAGTCCTCCATTGCATGTCTACAACTGGTCCAAAATGCTGCAGCCCGATTTTTAACTGGTACAGGCCATAGAGAGCACATTACTCCAGTTTTGGCCTCCCTGCACTGGCTACCCATTCACCTTTGGATCCAGTTCAAAATACTCTTGTATGTTTTTAAATCACTGAACAGTTCTGCCCCATCCTATCTCACTGATCTTTTACAGCCATATGTCCCACCACGCTCTCTGAGGTCAGCAGACCAGATGCTCCTTTCAGTTCCAGAAACCCGTCGTAAGCTCAGAGGTGACGAGACTTTCTCTGGTGCAGGTCCAAGACTGTGGAATGAGTTGCCACTGCGTGTCAGGCAGGCTCCCACACTCACAGCAGTGTTTCCCCTACCATTATACAAGCGGGGTGCCCCACCCCATCAACAGAACTGAGCACCCCGCCTACCAACCCAAACTTGCCCCCACCCAGCACTGACATAGCACTAAGCGAAATACAGGCGCTCTAGCTAAAAAGCTAAAGGTGCCTCTTCCCTCAGGCTGAACACCCCCCCCCCGCCCCCATGCTCTCAAAAACTGTTGGTACAAGCGGCACTCAGACATGTCTCTGTCCCTCCCGTCAACAAAAATCATGGATGAGATGAGCACCCCGTCATGGCAAGTTAACTAGGGGAAACATTGCGTAGTTTTTAAGTCTTGACTGAAAATCCACTTTTATTCCCTTGCCTTTGACATGGTGTGATTTGTTTTGATCCTGTCTGTAGTCTACAGTGTTGGCCATTTAGTTATTATCTGCTGCTTTTTGTATCTATCTATTTTTATTTTATGTTTTCCTGTCTGCTGTGCTTGTTTGTTTCTATTGTACAGCACTTTGGTTGGCCTTGTTGCTGTTTTAAGTGCTCTATAAATAAATTGGTATGGTATGGTAGATAATGATGACCAACTGACCATAGAGTGCAGTGATGGGTACGGTAGTTACAACCAGTTATGAATCTTAGCGCGCTATGGTAGCATTGAACATCTGCAAGGATCTGGCTTGGGCATTCATGTAAATAATGTCACCGTAGTCAATGGCCGGTAGGAAATTAGCGGTTACAAAGTGTTTTCTGACATTCGGAGTTAAGCAAGATCTATTTCTGAAAAAGAAACCCAGTTTTATTTTCAGTTTCTTTGTCAAGTTTTTGATATGTGGTTTAAGAGAGAGATGTGCATCAACCAAAATCCCCAAGTATTTCTAAGAATCCACAATTTCAACAGGAACACCATGCATGGATGAGATAGGATGAAGAACTGCTGGCACTAACTTTCTGTTGGGAAAACAACATCCCTTTGGTTTTGTCAGCATTTAGCATCAGCTTGAGAAATTAGTCTGACTGAATGATGTCAAATACAGACTGTAGAAACTTGAAAACCTTGGCAACTGTGTTAAATCAACAATAAAAAAAAACAGTGTTGTCAGCATAGAGATGCAAGGATGCGTAAGGAATGTTTTGAGAAACCGGTACATTATTTATATAAATTGTAAAAAGGATGGGACCTAAAACTGAGCCTTGTGGCACACCATTAGTGACCATTAGGTAGCTAGATGAAGTAACATTATGTCAAACACATTGTCTCCGACCTGAGAGATGGTTTGAGAGCCAGCCAACAGTGTGATCTGAGAAGCCAATATCTGAGAGCTTGTGACATAAGATGTCATGATGTACAGCAGGTAGAGCTGGACAATAATTCAATATCGATATATCTTGCGATATACTTTTATTCAATAACGATGATATGAATTTTAAGCACATTTTCGATGTTTCGATAGGATTACAGCGTTTTCTGTTCGGGTTGAAGCGGCCGCTTCAGTTTCAACCCGGACAGAAAAAAGTGCCACACAACTACCTAAGTGCGTGGTGACGTAATGTTGCGCAGAGCTCATGTCCAGAAGGCGTTAGTGGTTGCAGGCGAGGCTAGGCTAAGCTCCAATGCGCGTTAAGTTTTTGCTTCAAAATGAGTGCCCCTGATCGTCAGAATGTGACTGAACAAGATTTCACAAGCAAAGAGAAAGCAGATGACATCACTGATAAGAGAGGAAAGACTAATTTGCTGGTTTGGAAGTGGTTCAGCTTTCTAAGATCCGATAAACTGCAGGTTACAGTCAGTGTGCTGCAAAATGTGATGGAGAGTCGTTCTAACTAGCGGTTGGAACATCTAACTTGTTCCACTTGACAGAATATGCTGAGTCACAAGATGAAGCACAATAAAGTTTGAGCCAACGTGTCCCTGAAACACCCCCAGCGCTGCATGTTTGTTTTTGTTTTTTTTGTTTGTTTTTATCATTTATTCATTCATTTAAAATAAAACATTCATCAGAAAGAAAAAAAATCATTGAATGAAAAGGTTGCAGAAAGAAGAAAAAAAATCTTATCTGCCCCTTTTTTTAAAAAAAAAATACAAAATAACTACAAACAACAACCTTGACTTGAACAATCTCCAAACTGAAATAAAAAAAAAAAACTTTAGGTATCCTTAACCTGGTACTATACCTTCCTAACAACTTTAACCATCATCTTTTTAAACATATGAATTGTTTTAGAAATGTTTATGGTGATATCAAGACAATTCCATAATCCTATTCCCTGAATTACAACTCGGCTCCTTCAGATTAGTTCTAAATGGAGGTTTTACAAACATTTATATTCCCTTAAGGTTATATTGACTCTCCTTTTTTAATATTTATTTTTTACAAATTTTAATTGAATATTTGGGGCTAATATTTTTATGAGCTTTATGCATAACTTGTAAAATACTATATTCAACCAAATCATGACATTTTAATAATTTCAATTGATGACAATATATTTGTTGGGTGACCATAGCACTTCATAATACTAATAATTCTTATAGCTCTTTTAATGTAAAAATAAAAATAGGGTTTGTAATTGTTCTATTTCATATGGAACAATCATTACATTATACAATATATACAAAGCTTTGTCATTCAAAAACTATTTACTTTGTACAGTAATGCAATTGATTTTTATTTTTAAGTAATTTACATGAGCTTCTCATCAATAACGACACCCAAAAAGTTTATTTCATTAACAAAAAATTTCAATGCTGTCAATTTTAAAGTTGTTGTTTAAAGTCAAAACTATTAATATTGACAAAGTTGAGAATTTTATGTTTGTTTGACAGTGATTTCAATTTTTTTGAAGGCTAAATACAAATAAAAGATGAACATTAATTTATTTGTATAGTTTGTAGTTTTTCTGAGGCTTTTATATTGTTTATATCAATATCGAATTATATCGTTATCGACCGAAATTAAGAAGTATATTGTGATAAAAGTTTTGGCCATATCGTCCAGCCCTAACAGCAGGGGTGTCAAACTCACTTAGAAAAGGGGGCCAAAATTAAAACCTTTTTCAAACTAAGGGCCAATTTCATAAACTACATTAACTCAAGTTAAATACCCAACATCTTTTTTTGGTTGCAGGTTCCTCAACAAGAGTTTGATTGGACTCATTTGATGTTCTCTGTTGGGCTTTTGACATCATAATCAAATATTACTGAAAACAATTCAAGTGAAAAAAGTATTTTACATTTAAAATAACTTCTTGGGGTCCAGATAAGATGTCAATGAGGGCCACATTTGGCCCCAGGGCCTTGAGTTTGACATATGTGATCTACAGTATCAATGCACAGTAGAGTGATCCTTAGCATCCAAACTTCAACAGCATCATTTATACAATTTTAAATAAAAATTGTTGGTTATTAAAAGTTTGACTTTAATCTGCCTTTCATACACTAACCTGGATGCTTGTGGTGTTTGGTTCCAGTCTACATGACTGGTACCATAATTTTAATTTCACAGCTGGTTTGTGGCGTTTGTGTTGGTGCCTGAGTGTTTGTCTCACCAGCTGACAATTAATGCAGAAATGTGTTACAGTACATCTGAGTCTGCAGAGACTTGTAAATTTATTTCTCTCAGTCTTTTGTTTTATATAATTGTTTTATTTATTCCTGTTCATATTTAAGTCTTGTGAGTTTATTTGAAACTTTTCTGCTTCCCCAACCCCTTTAAACACCAAACATGTCATTAATACTACAGCTTATGTTTTCTTTATTGCTGAATATGCACCTCTTCTCTATGTGTAGTTATTTTGATATATTGACTCTTTGTCTAATTATGTTTTGCTAAATTTAAATTGAGCAACACTTTAAAAGCATATCCATGTTTATTGATACTAACTGCAAACAATGCTGGTTGATTTTCTGACTATGATACAAATAATTTAATTTTTTTTTAATTAATTTAAAAGCAGAATGTGATTTACATCTGGAACACTGATATTACAGTAAAGACTAAGCTTGTCATGTATGATAAATAAACAAAAGCAACTTTAATTCATTTTTGGATTTGATGAATACAAATTTACATGTAAATTATTTCTCACATTATCTCTGCTTTATCCCTCCATCTCTTCCAGACTGAACTGAAACGTCTGAAGAAGGATGTACGTTTCTTCTGCAGAATCTGTCAGCCCTGTTTGTGTCTGGATAAGACTGAGATAAGAGATCAGGTAAAAACTTTGTATAAAAAGAAACATTGTCAGAGTCAGAGAGATTTAATTGTCATTTGCATCTCGTGGTGGAACGAGATTATGTACACAGGGTTCCAATTACATCCAACAATCGTCAGTACTAACTACAGTATATAGTCATGTTCTTAAACTGAAGTCCCAGATATCGGCAACAGATTACATAAATCAGATATTCAGGACTGCATAGCTTCATTTTATGTGTTTGTTTTCCCTCTTCTTTTTGAAATTTTAAATGTATGAAGAAGAAATACTTTTAAAACCTTTATTTACAAATGAGTACTTCAATGCAGTTAAACTTGTAAACTTTGTCTGTGTTGTCAAGTCTGAAGAGTGTATCTTTTAGATAGAATATTTTTTATTGATTGTTTTGATGAAACATGAGCACATGGACAAATCAAAAGCACATATTTAGACCAACTTTACAAGACTTCACTTGATTTTAATCTTGAATTATAATGGTGTTTGTAGAATTTAATTTCCCTCAGTAAAATCTGAATCTATTAATAAAGGGCAAATGTTTTTTTGTTTGTCTCCATCGGCAGGCGTTTGAGCTGCTGTGTGACCTGCTGCTGTTGTACAGCACGTGTTCGGTTAGCACAGAGCCGGCTCTGCAAACACTGGTCCACCTGCCGTCTGATTCTCTCCGTGCTGAGTTGGCTTCTTTCCTTCTGGACTACGTCTTTGCCGACACAGAAGATGTTGAGCTTGAAGGTATTTTTGCACCAACTGATGCATAAACGTTAGCACTAAATGGAGTTCTTTCCTATCTTAGAAACAGTTTTTACTCTGTCAGTGATCTCCCTGAAGATGCTGCTCCTAACTGTGCCTGTATGCACACTTTCTGATTGCTTTGTTTTGATTCTGCTCATATTTCATAACGTTCTGTCAACTCCAGCAAATACGAACAGTTGACTGAAATGACAAATGTCTTTGTTCACATTCAGTTTGTTTCTGCTGAATACTGTTTTCTGCCTCTGCATTTCTAATAGTCTTACATATTTGTCATTTTCTCTCCTTTCCTCTACTTTGGTTATTGTTTCTAGATGAAGATGATCTAAAAATTGGTCTTCTTCAGAAGAAGCGCAACCAGCTGGCAGGTTACTGTAAGCTGGTGATCTACGGGGTTCTGGACCTCAGTGCAGCAACCAATATCTTCAAGCACTATAGCAAGGTGGAGTGATGGTCTTATCTGTATTTGTCTTGTATTTCAAATAAAAATTCATGTGTTCACAGCTAGACTAAATGTGTTAATGAGTTGGTTATTTATAAATAAATTAACTGGGTTTGGAATACAGGAGACTGGATAATAAAAAATAAAAATAATGGCGAGGATGTGTTTTGAAGTGGAGGAAGGTGATAAAATCTGTTTTGGATTCAGTGAGGTGCTAAAGCTGTGTCAGAGAGAAAAGTAGCTAAAAGAAGCCATATGACGTGAATGGAGTGGATTATTTTATGTTGTCAGACTTTCATTCTTTGCTGTTATTTATACAAAGTGTGTTTTTTGTTTGTTTGTTTTTTAGTATTTTAAAGAGTTTGGTGATATCATAAAGGAGACTGTGAGCAAGAGCAAACTCATCAGCCCCATACAGAGCGCCAAGACTGTCTGCCTGAGCCTGCAGCAGGTGTGCACTTCATTTCACCTTCATTATTTCTTTCTGAGAGGTTTTTATATGGAGTAAATGTTTTCAAGCTGTGAAATAGAGTTTTATGGCAGAATGCTGGGAGTGTGTGGCAACAGAAGTACAGAAAGAGTGCAATAATACAGATTGTATGAAAGTCACTCTTGTTCTCAAAAAAAAAAAAATACAGGAAGTTGTGACACTTTTTTAAGACTAAAAATGGCCAGTTAAAAACCTTAAAAACATTTTTTATGAAAATTTTGATTATGATTTTGAATACAATCCATGAGAGAGAAACGTTAACTTCCTCATATTTGAGTTTAACGTTTTTAGAACATCTGTCTGTTTCCTCTGTTATTTTATCTTGTTTACCTCTATTATCATCTAAAACTTAAATGTCTGACCACATAATCAGCTGGATTAAGCAAAACAGTTCAGAGTTGTTCTGAGAGGTGACCTCAAGGTCAGAGGTCATGGTCAGGAGAGGCCTTCCTCATCCTACAGCTAATTTGAGTGTGTTCATGAGTGTTTTTATATGAGATGTTTACTTCTGCACTGTCGAAACTTCACAGATAATAATAAAGGTTATGATAAGGTTTGTGAAAATAGACCCAGTAGTTCCTGAGATAATTGTGGTTGAAAATCAGCGACCACACCCAGTTTTGCCAGAAATCGGAATATCTTGGGGACCGTATCTCTGAAACCACTCGTCCGATTAACCCAAAATTTGAGCTCTTGTGCTGCGGGGGTCACAGTTGACAAACACGCCAAGTTTCATCACAATCTGAGAGGGTAGGGTTAAAATTTTCTCTTTTATTTTGGGGTGATTTGGCTCATAATGACCTAAGGCCTAAAGTTGAAAGTATTACATTTAGAACCTTTTATGACCCTACAGAAACCCTGAAAATGAATTTACGTTTTCCTTTCAAATAACCTGAAAATCACTGCAACGTCTGTCCATATCTTTTGAAAGATGTAATGATTTTTTTGATGCAACTCGTGTGAAGTCATGTCTGTGTTCAGATGTTCTCAGAGATGCTTACGGAGGGCCAAAACCAGCAGGATTTTGCTGAAATTCGAGACTTGGCCAAACGGCTTGCCATGAGCTTCGGCGTCGATCTTCAACATGTCCGCAAACCGCTGGTGGCCCTGCACTTGTCAGTAATATGATTCTCATACACACACACTCTGGTCTTGCATTGCAACCTGTAATCAGATTTTTTGTTTAAATTGGTTAAATTCTAAAACATAAACACAAAAAGGTTAGCCTAAACACATTTGAATAAAGGTTGGCACAACTAAACGCACTGTAGTTTTCACACTTTGGTGCTATGATTTTAAGCTTTGTGTGTGTTGTGTTTGCTGTCAGGGACGGTATACGTTTTGCATTTCGAGGTGCGCAGGACGAAGGGGAGGGACATCCAAATGTGACCTTCTTGGAAGTCCTCAGCGAGTTCAGCTTCAAGCTGGTTCCACAAGACCGCAACCAACTGTGAGAAAACGCAAACTAATCTTCATCCACGCAAATGTATACTTCTCATAACAAACAGAGCTCATCTATTCATATAAGATTGACTGAGAGTTACATTCTCATTTATTGATTTTAGAAATTTAGTCAATTTTTCAGTTATAACAAAATAATCTATAAACATATAACATCAAACTATAGTGACAGGGTTTCATGCACTATTTTATTATTAAATAAATTAAATGTGACGACTTCAAATACAGTATCCATACCCTGAAGCCTCAAGGTAAGTGAAACACAGCCAAGTAGGAATAATAGTACAAGTAGTAAGTTGTAGTTTATTTTAGTGTGTGTGTGTGTGTGTGTGTGTGTGTGTGTGTATATATATATATATATATATATATATATATATATATATATATA